TACTGGGTCGCCCAGCTCTGCGGAGGGCTGATCGGAGCAGGTCTCGCCCGGGTACGATGAACCACCGCTGGGGAGCGGTGGGATGAGGAGGGAGGGAGGGAGCAGCTGGTGTCGAGGGTGTGCGGTGCGGGTGTGGGGTTTGCTTCCTTGGGGGGGGGGTTCTCCCATAAACCAAAAGTGAACCTTGGTGACAACACTGGGCGTAGACTCTCGTGCAGCAATTTCAAAATAATACATTTGCACGAGAGAAGTCCCTGTGTTGTCTTCTAAATGAATATTATGTGCAAAAACCTTCCTGTTGAGCCAAGGAGCTGGGGGGAAAAGGGCGTGCAGGGTTGTGTCTTCTCTCTGGCGACGTGGCATTGCTTAAGCCCGTATCACACCTTTATTAAGGGACTAAAACGCCGCCCCTCTCCGCACAAGCTGGAGCCTTCCAGCGGTTTTAAGAGACGACCATGTCTATCATTCCTGGTGGTGGCAGGATGACCCCCCTTGCAGCCCAGGGACCAGGTTGGGGGGAAACTAGACTAAAATGTTGGAAGACATCTTCAAATGCCTGTGCAGGCTTGTGGGTTACGAGTCATGGTGGACGATGGGACATGAAAGACCGCGGCTCTCCGTTGCAGGTGATGACGGTCTGGGAGCGGTACGAGAACGCCACGGGAGCTGCCTTCACCAGCATCGTCTCCGACGACCAGCTCCCGGCCGCCGTGGTGGGCGAAATCGTCATGACCATGTTCCTGGTCATGACTGTCTGCATGGGGGCCATCAACGAGAAGACCAAGAGCCCCCTGGCCCCCTTCTGCATCGGCTTCACGGTGACGGCTGACATCCTTGCAGGGTGAGTTGGCAAGCGGAAGGGAGGAAAAAAGGCGCACAGGGGATCAGCCGGTTTTCGAGTTTTGTTTATTATATTTCGTCCTTGCCTTTCTCCCAGTGAAGTCAAGCTTCACCCAAGAGGAGGTGGGGAGCCAGACGTCGCGCTATTTGCCTGCTTATTTCTACACCTCCCTTTCAATAAGATTATCCCCCAGGGCAACAAAGTCTCACACTTAAACAAAACAGTTTGTCCAAAAGGATCAGCAAAAACCACAGAAACCCTGGGGGGGGGGGGCTACAGCCAAACAAACATATAGACAGAAAGGAAGCAGGGAGCAGCAGGGATCAGAGTTGGGGATGTTTCAGGAGGAGAAACAGGGATTAATAAAAAAAACCCATTCAGCAGCGGTCTGGGTCCTCCTGCAGAACTGCCCCCAGGGGACCAGATTCTGGCTTCAGGCTTGGTTCTGTCTGGACAGTTCCCCGGTGGTCCCAGTGGCCGCAGCCGGCCGCCCGGCCTTTACCTTGCTGGACAGCTGACATCCCTGGTCTGACCAGAGGGGAGGAACCAGAGGCGTGCCATTCCTGGAGAGGCAGGAGACACACACACACACACACAGACACACACACACACAGAGCGCCATGGGATTGATTCCCTGCTGTCATTCAAGCAAGATCCTGAGGACTCATTCAATTTTTGAGCCGGAAGGAACCTGGACGGTCCTGTCTCTAGGGAGTCCTAGCTGCCTCGGCTGCTCCTCAGTGAAGGCACAGCATCTGTTTCTCTCTCTCTCTCTCTCTCTCTCTCTCTCTCTCTCTCTCACACACACACACACACACACACACACACACACACGCGTGTTTCGCTGGGGTGGGTGTGTGGGGGGGCCTCAGCAAACAAGCCCGTCCTGTGGGATGGCAGCCTAGCACGCTGACCTCCTGCTCGTTCCTTTCCCCTCCCCCGCCATCCCAGGGGCGCCGTCTCTGGAGCCTGCATGAACCCGGCCAGAGCCTTCGGCCCCGCCCTCGTCGCAAACTACTGGGACTACCAATGGGTGTACTGGGTCGGCCCCATGGCGGGGGGGCTTCTGGTTGGCGCCTTGATAAGGTAGGTGGATGGTGTCGCCGGGTCCTGGGGCCGGCCGAGCGGCAAAAGTGCGGCTGAGCCTGGCAGGAGAACCTCCCTGAGGTCAAGGAGGGAGGGAGGGGAGGGGAGGGGAGGGACCCATTTCGGCCCTGGCGAGGACTTCCTCAAAACACCCGCTTGGCCACCCTGAGGTGGGACAGGAGGGTGGGACCCTGCTTTGATCCGTCAAGGCTCCTTTTGTGTGTGTGTGGAGGGGGCATTCCTCCTTAGCAGAACCTCCATGTTCAGAGGGCATCTACCTGGAGGGCTGGGAAGGGGCCTCCATCCCGACAAATCCCCAGAGAGTGGTCCCCCGGTGGGCCCCTTCGTCTGGCTCCCGAGCCCACCAGCGCCAGCCCTGCTGGGGGGCTGAAGTGTGAAGCAGGGGCCCTCAAAGGCCGGGGGGCCCTTCTGCCACCCCCTCCCCAGGCACTGGAGAACGGCGAAGACCACCGGCCGCTTGGGCAGGTCCCCCTCGGGGTCCCCAAACGAGATGGAGCCCCAGGCGGCGGGACCCGGCTCAGCTTTTCCCCTTTTTTTATTTCTCCAGGGTCCTGATGGGGGACAGGAAGACTCGCCTCTTCTTCAAGTAAAACAAGGGGCCTGCCTGGGAGTGGTCGGCCCCCAGACCGCTCTCCTCTCTCTTCCCGGCCGGCCGGGCCCACCCCACTCGCTCGCTCGCTCGCTCGCTCGCTTTCTCTTCCCGGCCGGCCGGCCGACCCCGCTCGCTCGCTCGCTTGTTCCTCCCTGGAAAGCATTTCAAGGAGCTCCGTGGCCGGGAGGAAGGAGGACCACCATCGTTCCGTGGGAGGCCACCTGACTCTCCGGCCCTTTCCTGAGTCGTGGCTGCTCATCGTGGCTGTCGTTGCACAATGGAGGACAAACTCTCTGGTGGGGTGGGGGGAGCGGGGGGAGCGTTGCCGTCCGCTCCCGTGGCACCGGCTGGAGCCTCCGAGGTGCTGCCCTGTCCCCCCAGGTCTCCAGGGGGGGAGCAGTCCTGGGAAAAGCTTGAGCTGACTTGATTTCCAAAGTGGGGGTCGTCCCCCTCCCGGCCCCCGGAGTCGTCATCGTTGGTGCCCACCCGCCCTCTTTCAGCAGATGCCCGCAGGCATCCTCCTTGTTTTTGGAGGGAGCTCAGGAAAGCCACACCGTCGGTCTCGGGCCCGATGGTCTTTTGCCCCTTCCCAGCCTGCGGAGGCGAAAGCTTTGGGCCCCAAAATCTCAGGGGAGGAGCAGCGTCTGCCGGGCCGTCCTCGCTGGAAGAGGAGGAAGGCCGAGGCCTGCTCTTTGCACCTGGATCGGGACCTGCCGCGGGGTCTCTCTGCTTCGGCTGCTTTCCCAGCGTCACCCTTTTTTCGGTGTGCCTTTCTGGAAAGACCGTCAGCCGTGCTCCCTTTGCCAAGCAGGGAAACGCAGCGGGGAGGACCGGAAAGGGGTGGCAGGCGTGAAGCCCCCTTGGAAGCCGCACGGATCCTGCCTTAAGTGCCTTTTGCCCAAACGACGGGCATGGATGAGAAGGCTTTATGGACCTTGACTTGATGGTGACGGGGGGGGGCTTATGTACGCCTTTCTTTCCCACTCCGGGAAAGGTGAGGAGGTGAGGGCAGGCCTGCCTGCTTTTGCTCTCGGCTCGCTCTCGCTCCTCTGCGTGCGCCAGCTGTTTTCCACCCACCCTTAATCCTCCTTGCCTTTTGCCAAAGGCTGCTGCGGCCCTAATAAGGCGAATCAAAGCAGAGTCCCTGGAAGGCATGCCATAAATCACCCTCTGAGGCAGGGCTAATTGATTCTCAGAGGCTAAAACACACACAGGCCTCCTGCGCGCCCGCCCGCCTGCCTCTTCCCAAAGCAGCCGCCACCACCCAAGGGAGGCCACCTTGGGCAAGACACTCCTCTGCTCGAGGGACAGACCCCGGGCAGGTGGGGGGGGGCGGCGACTCCCTTCTAGAAGGCCAACCCACTGAGCAGCCATGGGGTCTGCTCTCAGCGTCCCCCGGAATTGCCCTGGAGGGCTGCAAAGCTGCAGCTGGAAAGCCAAATCCTGGATGAGGAGGAGGAAGAGGGTTGCTTGGGGGTGTGCATTCATAAAACCAGGGGCACCCACACCACTCCCTGGAACCAAGGAAAGGAAGACGGGTCTTCTTCCCTCCCCTGGACGTCCCACTGGGAGATGAGAAAGGCTGGAGACCTGGACATTCTGCCTCCTTCCCTCTTCTGCCTGGGTTTTCCCTTCTGAATTTCCTCCATCCCAGTGTTTTACAACCTGGGGGCTGCCAGAAGGGTTGGACCACCATACCCATCACTGGCCACATTGGTTGGGGATTATGGGGGCAGTAGTCCAACACAGGTGGAGAGTCACCCATAGGACAGAGACGCCCCCGTCCCATCAGATCTCATCGTGCTGCGCTCCTTGACTCCCCCCCACACCCTTCTCCATGCCCTCTCCCCCCTCTGGCCAAGCCCGCTAGAACCAGACTCAGTCAGTGGTTGCACCTCATTTGGGGAGGCCAGCTCTCGCACGCACAAACATGCAAATGCCCACTTCCCCTTTCTTCATCATTCCTGGCAGGAACCCCTAGTGCTAATCCAGGTGATACCCTGAGGTCCTGCCTAGCCTGATGGGGCGATACAATAAATAAGTGTATAGCAACACAGACATGCTCTGGAACAGCCATGTGCTGGGATGATCTGCTGCGGGGGAACCCCTCGATCCGGGTCATCCTCGAAGAACGTCCCCCCTGGCTGGGTGAACCCCTTCCTATCGACCCCATGCTCTCTCGGTATATTTGCAAACGAACAACGATTCCCATCTTCCAGAGAGGCCAGCCGCTTTCAGGATGTTTAGCAAAACCAAACCAACCAAATAAAAAAAAAATCTTGTGGCACATGTAAGATGGTTTTAGGGTGAGCTTTTCTGAACTCCCATTTTCCAGAAACTCCCATTCCCTGAAAGATGATGTTAACTCATGCTGGACAAGAAAAGAGCCCCGAGGAGGAGTCCCTGAAGAATTGTAGGCATGGTGGGAGAAGCAAGGATCATAGGGCATGATGGTAGAGCAGCTCTCAAAGAAATCCACTCCGCTCACCCTCTCAGGGAAAGGCCTCCCTGGTGAGTAAGGTCTCTCAGTCTCTCTAGAAGATCATCAAGACAGAAGGGGGGGGCAAGGGCAGGTCAACAGGGGCCAGCCTGAGAAGATCCAGCCCTCTCTGCTTGGCCGGCCCTTCAGAAGAGGCCCTGCAGGAGGTGGCCACACACGGGGAGGCTGCTGACCTCGGAAGGCCGCCCTGGAGTCCACCTGGTCCCAAGCCACGCAGGGCTTTTGAGGCTGACCCACACCCTGCGCTGGACTGGGAGATGCGTGGCCATGCCAGGCCAGCTGGGGCAACCTCCGAAGGGCCTTTCCAGCCCCTGGGCTTGCCACCTATATATTCCACTTTTGGACCGTTTCGGAAGGCAAGAATCAAGAGACAACTAGCTAAGCCCACTTGGAGAGCTGTGCCGGAAGGACCTCCCGTGGTCCCGGCTGGGTCAAGGCTGGGGCAGCCGCCCTCTCGCCCCCTCCCCAATCTGGTTCTGAAGGGAGGAGGCCTTCTCCTTCCCCAGCTGCAAACTTAACTGCGGAAGGAGATTCCAGAGGGAACACAGCAGCTCTGCCTGAGTGGGGTTTTTTTTGTTTCGTTTTTTTTTGGCAGGGTACTTTAAAAAGCATTGCCATGACAACAACTCCTGCAGCAAAGGGCTCCCCCCCCCCCCGCAGCCCCAGAAAAAAGCCATTCCTGATTCTTACTAGGAATTCCAGATGTGAAGCACAAGAAGCGACATAAAAAAAGAGGGCAGGGAGTGGAATCAAGAATTCCTCTGTCTCTCCACCTTTCTCTCTCTCTCTCTCTCT